ACACACACACACACTCACTGACCGACACACACACTCACTGACAGACACACACACACACACACAGATATTCACTGACAGACACACACACTGACAGACAGAGAAACACACACACACTCACTGACAGACACACATACTCACTGACAGACACACTGATAGACACACAGACAGACAGACACTCACACAGACAGACACTCACAAACAGACACTCACTGACAGACAGACAGACACATACAGTCACACTGACACACACACACATACTCACTGACAGACATACACACATACAGACACACACACTGACAGACACACACATACTTGCTGACAGACACACACACATACTCACTGACAGACAGGCACACACCGACAGACACACACATACTCACTGACAGACACACACTGACACAGAGACACACATACTCACTAACACACACACACACTGACACAGACACACACATACTCACTGACTGACTGACAGACAGACACACACACTGACAGACAGACACACACTCACACACTTACACACACATGCTTTTCATTATTGCTTCTTACCTTATGGAGCCGATTGGGGCATCTACCTGGGGTCCTTCCTGCTCCTCACTCCTCTCTTGCGCGGTTTAGTGGTGCCGGAATATGACGTCATATTCCGGCGCCCGGCTTCACTTCAGTTGGCGCGCATGAGGGAGCTGTGAGGAGCTGGAAGGCTGAGCTCCCTCGTGTTCCTCCTTCACGGCCAGGTAAATGTTAGCCGAGTAGGCACCTGCAATATACTCTGCTATAACACCAGCATGCATTTGCGGCTTGCTGGGCCGCAAAGATGGTCCTTGTGGGCCGCGGGTTTGACATGCTTGCTCTGCGACATCCTGGGAGGCAATGAGAAGTGAGACGTGATTAACGTGTTTGCCCCCCAGGATGTCTTTCTTGAGGATCGCCTGTACCATATGGGCCGGGTTAATGACTTGAGACCCTAAGGTGGTGGGCATATTATTACCTGATTGGGACTGGGAACAGCCCATAACTTCGGCTGATAGAGGCTCTGGTGTTGCAACTGGAAAGCTGCGGGCTTCCAGTCTCTCCAGCCTATTGTTAATCTGTCCCATGGATGACACTAAAGAGGCAATTATAGTATGTAGGTTGACGTTGCTCGTGCCACTCATGCCTTCCCTCGCGTCTGTGTTATCAGAATTTGCTAGCATCAGCCTAAATAGTTCTGTTTTCCAGGGCAGTAGCTGGAAAGGGGATGCTGCGCCTGCGTAGTTTGGCCATGATACGTGGGATAGTCCATGATCTAATTGAGGATGGGCTACCGGTGTCCCCCTTGCGTGTGGGGGTGGCAGTCCTGGCTGGAGAGCTAGGGATTGAAATATCATCTCCTTTTTCTGGTTCTTGGGACCTACTGAAATATATAGGAATCATGAACTTAGCATAAGGATGTATAAAGGTATTTAGCTAGTGCCAAAATGGCGAAAAACTTTGTTAGACTGGTGACAAGTGAGTCCCTACTAGTTGCCAAGTGGCTTGATCGTCTCTAACTATGGTTGGCGTGAGGGGGTAACCTGCTGGTTGCTGGCCTTACAGGGAATGACTCAATTGACTGGGGAGAGGTTGTGACAAGTGAGGCCCTTAATATGCAACAAGCGAGGCGGTTAGCTATGGTTTGGCCCATGGGGCGTATAACCTCTTTTGTGGAGGATGGGTGTTGGCCTCGCATGACCTCTATATCTATGGCAGACTGTGCCTGGGAGAAATACCTAGGTGGCCATACCCCTTCGTCTCTTGGTTGTTTCCCTATACTTTTACCCTTAATTAAGGAAGAAGGAGCAACAAACCTGTATGAACAATGTGTGCCTGGCTTTGCTCTGTGGTATTCTGAGATCCTGCTAAGGAGGGAGGCCTAAACCAAGATGGTGGATGACAGAATAGAAAGAAGAAGATAAGTATGTAAGTTTGTAGTGACACTGAAACCTGTTGAATATCCCCCACGACCGTAGTGTTTGAATCCACTATGATCTACCCACCTATGACCTTTAGGTGGTGGATCAACACTTGTTCTGGTTTATCCTGTAAAATCTATGACCTTGACACTCCAAGATTGTCTGAGCTTGTAGCCTTGAGTCTGTAACACGTCAGAATAAGTTATAGTAGTTTCGTAAATGTCTGCTCGGTACCGTTGTACCCAGCATACATTTATGTTCCTGTACACTATGTCTGAATAATGAAACGTATAACTGTTACATATAATGCACGTACCAATGGTAGGAAACACAACACTCTTGACCTCTTTCTAGGTCTCTGAACCATGAAATCAGACCTAGAGATCAAAATGACAAATACCGAGTTAACATATACCGCATAATGTCCCCCCAGCTATGACTTGAGACCTAGTACCTGATACCTAATGCACGTACCAGTTATAAAGCAACAAAACACTTCTTAGTAGTGACTAGGTCTATGAACACGAAAGCAGACCTGTAGATTAAAATTATTTCTTCCTTGGTTATCCTGATAAGACCAATGTAGCATGGTCCTAGCTTCTTGGAAGGACAGGAAAAATTCAAGTTATGTGTGAACAGCCAGACTTTGTTACCTGGCACATGGAGTGGCTCCAGGGACCTTTTATTGTCTATTGTCAGCATGTCTCTTATAGAATTGTTGTGTTTGTCTTAAGGTACTTTGTAACAGTTTTCTATGTTGTCTCAAAGTGTTCAGTCGGTGATAGAATTCAGGGACGGTTGTGAGACATGGGAGGTTTGGAGTATATTTCATGAATTAGTGAACATGGTTATTTTAGTAGAACTCATCGGTTGGAAGCAGAAACAGCCAATCATCCTGTAAGTATGAAGTGTGGCAGCAAAAGTACTATTACAGGGTTTGGTAGATTTGATAGGTTCATTCATTTTGGCCATTTGACTGGGGATGATAGGCTAAGGACAAATTTTGTTGAAGTCTAAGTATTGCTGTACCGGATGGGCATCCTGTACCTCACTGTGTGAGCAGCCAAATACATGGTGACCACAAGCACTGCTGGCCTGCAGCCCAGAGGGGACTCCTATTACTTTACCTATGGGAGTAATCAGTTAAAAGAGCGGATTCTTCTGGACAACCCGTCTGCATCCTTTCATGCCATAGCCTTACTAAAGGTGCTTACTATACTTTACTACTATAAAGGCTGGTAGAGAGCTAAAACACAATTCCTATCACTGCCAGCCAGACAGTAATAGGTTGCTTGGAAATGCTTCTTCTTGTAGACATAGGACTCTTTTAAATGCTAATGAAAATCAATGCAATTTCTAGGAGAATATTTTTATAGCCTGTGCCATCCTGTCATATGGACTTATTACACTTGTATTGAGGAAGAGGTGATTAACTCATTAATGTGCATTATTTATTTATTTATTTTTAATTTTTTTAATATTTATTTCAGTAGTGATGTGGAAATATTACCGTGGCAACTGTAAACACATACAGTTTGTAAGGTGGTGTAGAAATGGCACATGTCTGAAATTATCACAATGTGGAATATTTTTGGTAGCCAGCTTTTTAGGAATAAGTGGCTGTCTTCTTTAGGAGGGTTCGGTGCTATATTACAATACATATCTGCAGGATCAGTAATATGTGGTGATACCAAGAGGTGTCAAAGGGACAACTATGTCCTGTGCTTATTTATATTTTAAAATCTATTATTGTATAAAGAAAAATGTAATAGAGTAACAGTTGCATAGGTGCAAGTCAAATTACATTGCAATGAAGTTTTCATGATAATTATGTAACTTGAAGGAAAGTAGTAGTGGACAAGAAATAAGATTCAGCTAATCTCTGGTGATTGGCAGAGGGAATTGGTACAAATTGTTCCATGGAGAAAATTGCTTTAGTTCTGTGGAACTTTTCCAGGGATTAGCAACATATGGCATTCCAGGTGCCTTTACACAACAAGGAAAGCTGCCAGACCCAAACTGGCTGGGGAGATAGGAGGATCTCCTTGGAACTGTCCTAACAGGAGTCACAGTGGGAATTCATCTGGTATATATTGGCTGGTAAGAGTGGTGGTAATGCCTTAATACCGGAAATCGGGTTTGTTTCCCGGTCAGATCACCTCACCAGTTAGTGTCCCAGGGCAAGAAGCATGATGAGATATATCCACCTCCCTTAAATCCTCACAGATTGTAAGCTTAAAGGGCTTCTTTCACCTCTGTTAATATTCTGAAGGTCAATTACTTGTCAAAAATATCCCCTTTATATAAATGTAAAGCTCTGCGATCTCAGATCACTTCCTCCTAGCGCTTGTGAAAGGGAAACTGCTCTGGAGGAGTGCAGCCCACAGCTTGGACTCCTCTGGAACCCAGGGAAGCCCCCACATCTCCAGACATAGCACATAAATAATACTAACGACACACAACCCCGCATGGATCTTGGGTGAGTTCCCACACTTTTTCCCCCAGGACTTGACCCCTGGTGATACGGGAACCGGGGAGATCTATGAGGGCATGGGTGCCTTTATTTACAGAGAAAGTGAAGAATCCAGAAAAAGCAGGCAAAATGTGATGACCAGTGATGGCAGCAAAGAAGTGTGGTCAGGGTCAAAGCCAAAGGTCAGAAGCTGAGAAGTATTACTGTGAATCAGGGACCAGGAAGCGGGAACAAGAATGAGGATCAGGACCAAAGCCCCTTTAATATGTAAAAATAAATATATTTGCTGATAACTGTCTATTTATTCACTAAACATTAATTGTAGTTAATTGAAAACCATATTGCACGTATTAGATAAAACTAGTTCTCCCTCTCTATAACTGCAGTTAAACCTTGTAACTATTAGGCTACCTTCAGAATATTTATAATATTAAGACATAGTTCTCCCTCGTTCATGTACTGCATTTATAGCAATCTATTGTAATATTTGTGTTGCCGGGGCCCCCAAGGCGTGGCCCTTGATCCATCACCCAGCCATGATACATCACACAGCTCTATCCTGGAGAGATGGGTGTGAGCAGAGCTAGGGGGCGGCGCCGAGCACACATTCGGTGCTGCTATATGAGACCCAGCTCGGACTCTCTGTCAGGAGGGATCTCCAGGCTGCTGACAGTGACAGGTAAATGGGGTGCACAGTATGGGAAGAGGCTTTGGATTGACTTTACAATGTTCTAAGCAGCCTCACCAATAGCAAAACAGAGCAGTCTATATAGTGTGTATAAGATACTGCTCACTGCTGTTAAACACACTATATAGACTGCTCTCTGCTGTTATAGATTATATATACTGATCTCTGCTGTTATACAGACTACATAGTCTGCTCTCTGCTGTTATAGATTATATATACTGATCTCTGCTGTTATACACACACTATATAGACTGCTCTCTGCTGCTGTATAGCTCACTAGAACAACTATGATTTCTAGGGAAAGAATAAATATGAAACTACCCTCTACATACACTATATATAAGCAAGGAGGATGAGTAGTCAGTAGTGAATTAGACCATACCCTCTACATATGCTATAAAGAGAGTTTGAAGATAGCACCAATACAGACTACACTCAGCAAATTACGGAGTAGCCTTTAAATAAGTAAAAATCATTGAGTATCCAAAGTTAAAAATACAAACAGCAAGGGCAACGGGTAAATAAGCAGACCATTATCTAAAATCTCACTACAGGCTATCTATATATATATATCTAGAAGGGGAATATTTTAGAAAAAAAAAAAATATATACACACATTTCATTAAATAAATAAGTGAATATGGTGCTTCAATAATATTGTGTAAATAAGTGAAAAACAAAAAACTGATATATTACAGTGTTTCCCCAACACACAGAAATCAAATATACATAAATAATAATAATAATATATATATATTATATATATCCGCTTAACAACACAAATATAAAACATTATGTGATCAAAACTCCATTTGCTTTTATATGAATATATGCATCCCCCTGGATGTTGGTCTAAGGTAACATCCCCAGGACGTACTTGGAAACCACAGTAATCTGAATGTACGTTTCTTGGTTAAATAATTTGTTATTATTATTTCTTCAGGCTTGAAGAAGACTGCAGTCTTTCCTCCACCATTCGGTAATCCAGTCAGAGAATACTGGATTCACAATGCATGACCGGATTGCTCTCTTGGCTTTTGTCACAGTGGCAGCTGTTTTGGAACAAGGTGAGTTCGTAACAAGCAAAATGTTTGGAGATTTTCAGTAAACAAAACCCACTATCTATCTCCATATAATATCTACATATCTCAAAACTGAATGCACCGGTCATGGCTGATTATATATTTCTTACCTATGTTAAATGTTTATATGTGTTGTGTATTAATATTGTTTTTGTATTTTTAATATTATACTGTACCCTATTGTATCAATGCAATGTTTGTGGGACCAAGACATACTTGAAAACAAGAGAAATATCAATTTAAACATCCTGGTTAAATATTTTATAAGTAAATATAGTGTGACTAGCTGGTGAAGTGTGGTTTGTTGGTTGACTAAGTAAGTATAAAAAGTTAAAGGGTTACACTGACCTTTGTAAATAATGCCATTACGTTTACAAGACCCTATTTGGCATTATTAACTCGCCCTCTCCCCCTTATAGTGTTGCAAAGGAAGAGCAAACTTACTCTCTGTGCTGGTTTCCACACCTCTGTCGATGCACTGGCAGATATGGGGGGGGGGGGAACGGGGCATTTGCACCCCCAAGACTCTCCCCTGCCGGCCAATGCAGGGCTACCGCTATCACAGTGCCAGCCCTGCAATGTGCCTTCACAAACCGAAGAAGAGATCAGAGATCTCCCTCCCCGGTCTGCAGGCACCGTGTTGGCAGCCGGCAGGGGAGGGAGGGAGGGAGAGAGGACTCTGGAGCTCATCCTGCAGCTTCTCCGGGTCCTACTCTCGCGAGCATGGAAGGTTGCAGTGGTTATCAAGGCAACTCTCTGGATGTCACGAGAGGGACCTCTAGTCCTGGAGCTGTGGGCTAGAGTTCACGCTCACCACTGGGACCACCAGGGATTCCCCACCGGACCACCAGGGACTGAGAAATGCCCTCCTCCTCCCTCAGCAAAGGTAAGAAGGGAGGGGAGACATAAATTTATTTATTTTTATTAAAAATATTTTTTTTTAATAAAAAAGCCACCCTTCCCTCCTCACCACACATTCACACACTGCCTCCCCTATATACATTGCCCCCCCAAACATACACACACAGCCCCCATACACACATTGCCATACACACACATACACAGCCCTCCCATACACATACACACACCATACACATTCACACACTGCCCCTTATACACACACTGCCCCCACACACACCATACACATTCACACACTGCCCCCCCATACACACACAGCCCCACATACACAGCCCGCCATACACACATTATCCCACATTGCCCCACACACCCTACATATTTACACACTACACCCCCCCTCCCCCACACACACACTACACCCCTCACACATTGCACCACTCACACACACCACGGCTCCTATGCCCTACTACAGCCCCATATCCAAGTAGACCCCAGGTAAGTTGTCAAACTGTTCTTAACCGTTTGCTGTTTGACTACTTACTCTGGGAGGGGTCCTAGCACTCCTGGCACCATAACCACTACACAGAGCTGTAGTGGTTATTGTGCATGGATTATTTCTTTAAATAATCTACAAATGCCCCTCCCAAGATCAGGCTCTGGATCTGCCACTGTGTCGACGTCACTGCTGTCTGCCTGTGGTCCAATTAAATACTTCTCAGAACATGCTCTCTGAGCCGAATGGTCAGGGCAGGAAGGGAATTAAAAAAACAAACCAACAAACAAAAGCAATTGCTATGAAAGCAGCGAGCAGGGGTGGGTGAGAGGATTACGGCTTCCCCTTGCAAGAGGAGTCACTAAGTGTGGCTGGGATGCAACTTGTTCAGTTATCATGTAAAAATTATAATTTCTCTGTAGGTACAGCATTTCAAGCACTACCACCATGGCAATTTCTAAAAGCAGAAGTGGTCATCGTGGTTTGAGTAACCCTTTAAAAACTGTGTGCCACACTGAGAAAAGATTGAAAATAAGTGTGGCTATACAGGATACAAAACATGATCTGTGATCTATTGAAATATAATGCCAGTATTTCGGCCTCATATTTCATGCAAATTTAGGTGAATCGGGCTGCAGAGAGAATTCTGTCGTGGTGCTGGATTTTGTAAGAAAGGAAGCACTGTAAAGTTAAAAATGAATATAGTTATCTTTTTTATTTCATTTTGATTGAAATTTTGTTTCACAAAAGGGGAAGGAGTGATACAAAACCAGGGGAGGAGGGGAGATATGGGTTACCATGCATAAACATGATTTTTTTTTTCTTTTGGAAAAACTAAAGAGATTTGAGAGAAGGAAAAGATTACAGAATGATTAGGAGACAAAACCTACCCTTAAATGGACACTAGCTGCTTCAACTCATTGAAGTGGTTATAGTGTCTGGAATCCCCTGGCACCATCCTTACATTCAGTGTTAAACTGTTTTAATGCTAAATGAGTCAATCAGTTGAGAGTGCCAGATGATGTCTGTGATTGGCTGAGAAAATCAGTTGACTGCTTCCAGCCTGTCACAGTGCCCATGTTTGGTATGAATTGGTATGGCTAGAAGGATGTGAGTAATATATGCCTTAGCCAGTGGAGTTCAAGCTGTGGGCAGCCAGGGACCCATATTAAGTGTTAAACTGCTGGAGAATGGTTTAGCACTGAATGGGAGGATAGTGCCAGGGTTACTAAGCACTATAACTAATTCATTAATGAGATGAAATGGTTATAGTACCTAAAGTGACCATTTACATTATGTGATAACAGTAGGAAGAACTTGTGCAAAGTTCATTGTGGTGCTGATGGGACTTTCAGAGATATATCATGTCACACCTAGTGACTCCAGCAAACTCCATGTGTCAAACCCATATATTGTCCTTACTTGTAGAAACACACTCGATTTTGTACATGCATAATACATATACAAAAACATTTCTACAACATTCATGCAGTTATCTTCATTAGATGTGAGAGTACAGAGTGAAAACACATCAGGCTAAATAATAAATATGTGTATAACTTTAGAAAAAATATCTACATTTCAGATATTTGTGTGCAGCTTGCCAATTTCATCTTAAATTTGAAATCGCAAAACTGCTTTTTGTGAATTATACGGACACTCTTAAGTATCAACACTACTACTTTTTTTTTTAAATTCTTTATTTTGTTGTGTGTTAGTATACATAGGTCTCCTGCGAAGCCACAATAGCATCGCATGAGTGTCGGTTGACAAGATAAATGCACACATGGATTAGGTGTTGAGGTCTGTGGTTACGTATCATTATATGGGATTCAGTTTCTTCACACATTTTTGTAATATAAGGCATAACATTGTAGTAACATTGAGTTCAAGGGAAACCAGATTAGCATGGTGGGTCTGTAAAATGCATCTTGGTGTAGCCCTCTTACTTAGTGAATGTGTGGGGGACCTTCCTTACCCTTGTAGGTTTTGCGCTGCTGTTTGTTGGCTGGTGTGTGTCAGTGTTCCTTTGGGATGGGAGCGTGTGTGGGGGTTGGTTGAGTGGCTTGGCCCCTGGGGCCGTGGGAGTGTGACTCCTTAAGGGAAACTCCCGGTGTTCGGGTGTAAGGTTACGTGAATGGCCTCTTGAGCTCCAGACAGCCCCATATGTTCGTACGAGCCTTTACGATAGGTAGAGCTTTAGGCCTTGGTGTGTGTTGCCCTTAACCTAGAGGGCTATGGGGGGGAAGGGGGAGAGGATTGTAAGGATTGCATCGCTGAATGAGTTTCTAGTGTGAGTTTTCTCCGCTGGATCCACCAGATTATAGTCAGGAACAAGAAAAACACAAAAGAAATATCCCACCTCCTCCCCAGCAACTGGACGACAGTTTTATTCCTGCCAAACACGGCTTTTATACATTGCCCCTAGCAAGGGGTTTCTCAGGCAAAATTACAGGGCTTTTCTTCCCAGGATCCTCTGTGCCTGAGAGATAATTAAGTAATAGCTTTTTCTCACGCAATTATCTCTAAGATACAGAAATTTTAATAACTTCACCGAATAGCTTGGATTTGAGCGCACACTTTGCCTAAATATCACTCAGATCCCTTCGTTGGTTTGGGAACGCCATTCAAATGAAATTTTGACCGGTCGGCCACAAGGTGATGCCCCAAAACCGTTCCACAGAAAACAAGGCAACAACCGGTCATTTTTTAGGGGTTCTCACGCAAACACTGATGAATCCATTCCCTGGCTGTTAGGATACAAATGCTCTCCCTTTTTGGTAGTTTATACCTCCCGAATGCAGTTCTGACTGTTCGTGAAGTTGCATGGGCAGCAGTACCAGTTTCCTGGGTGTTCGATATCCGAAAATAGTTCCATGCCATCGTTGACCATGTACAGCTGCCCTCGTTCAGGAGACAAAATGGCTGTCAATTGTTTGAACACGTGTGTTCGGCTATGCGAATGGCAGCCACACAGGGAAAGCACGTGAACTAATAAATTTGTGGTTAACAGCCAGGGGTGGTCTGTGATTATAAAGTGCGAACAAGGGGCCCCTGTCAGGATTGTGTCACACCTAGGACTAAAAGGTAACGTGTTACAGGGCCTTAGAATGGCCAGACTTAACGTACCAAAGAATAGTCAGTATACTTGCCGAGGTCAGGGACACAGAATGGGACACAACAATGAGGGAAGTCAGAACAGAGCCAAAGTCAAATACCGAGGTCAGGGACACAGAATGGGATACCAAAAATCTGGGAAGTCAGAACAGAGCCAAAGTCAAATACCAAAATATCAAGATCAGGAACGCACTCTTGGATTACCAACAGGCAGAAAGCACAACAGGGCAATGAGAGAATGTAAAAATTAGTTTAAATTATGACCCACCTTTTACCCCAGAACGATTGCACGCGTGACGCCACATGCACGCCAATGTCATCATCAACGTGGGCGGTCTTGGGGCTATAAAGTGACATGGATCCGCAGCAGCCGGCGTCCCTAGACATGCTGGATTTATCAGGTATCTGGGCGCATGGTTGCAGATGGGCACAACTATTCCTGTCAGGACGGTAAATACTATCATAAACATTTCTATGTGCGGATGAATCCGTTACAGCCACACAGCGAGGGGGTTTGTTATACGGACAGCCGAATAAAGGGAATAAAAGTATGTTTGGGTTTTTTATTCTGCTACACACATCTCTTCTCTGGGCGTCAAAAAAAAAAAAAAAAAAAAGAGGAGGTTGGTGGGACAAAAAGAAACCCCAACTAAATAAAAGTAGCTCATCTATGTGGTCAGGCCAGTCTTTGCTCCCCACGTGCATCAGTTTGCCTTGGGTACCAATGATCTTGAAGCCGGTTCCCCGGTAAGTACTATCCACTGCATACCTGGCATACCACAAGACTTGCAGTTTTGGAGATGCTCTGATCCAATCTAGCCACACTATTTGGCTGTTGTCAAACTCACTCAGATCCGTTTGCTTGCCCATTTTTTATGATTCCGACACATGAAATTCGAGAAGTGACTGTTCACATGATGCATCTTATATAACACTCTTGACTTGTGTCATTGTAATAATATAAGCAATATTATTTAATCTGATTTTAATGTTGTGGCTGATCAGTGTAAATGGCAATAGCATAGGTTCTTAACTGATATCTGAGCAGCATATTGTTCTTTCACAAGGAAATATAGCACTTGCATGTATTCAGGAAGCATGTGAAACATATTTGCAAAGCAAATGTTAAAAGATAACATTTAAAGGGACACTAAGCACCAAAAGCATTACATCTTAGAGGAGCAATGCTGAAATGTGCATATTTTCATGAATGTGTAGAACAATCTTTTTTTAAACATATTTTTCTTTCCACTGCCAATGCCAGTTGCAGCTTGACAAAGCACGAAGAACATAACTCTCTGTTAGAATCACGTATTTCATACTGTGCATCTACACACATTCAAAATATAATGGCATTTAAGATTATGGTACTAATTAGAAACAAAATGTAGGTTAATATTAGCAATCCTATTTGCCTGTAATGGGGCACTTTCATAGCCTGGTGCAGTCACATCACAGGGGTATGAATGTGCTTTTTAGTAGAGGTGCTCAATGCACAAGCAAATGTGTTTTTTTTGTTGTTGGTTTTTTTTTAACACTAATAACACTTGCTTTAAGCAAATTAAAGAAACATTCTGGTCACCATAACAACTTCATCTAAATGAAAATGCTATGATGCCAGGAAGCCCCTGGGTGCTCTCTTTCCTATAAAGGGTTAAACCACTCTCAAATGGTTTAACCCCAAAAACTTCCTCCAGCTCCAGGTCGCTCAGTGGTATTCGGCTTCTGAAAAAGAGTGTTAGGAAGTGCAGATTGACGTCAGGCATGGGTGCTACAGATTGGCTAGAGTGGTCAGTTGATGCTCTAAGCCAATCGCTAGTTACCGGTTCATAAAAATGTTTTACTTTTTTATGAATGGGGAGCTACTGATTGGCTTAGAGTGCCAGCTGACCGCTCTAGCCAATCCGCAACACCCCAACCCAGCAGCACTCTGTGCTTCCTGACACTCAGTAAATAAAAGTGAACACATTAACACTGATATTTTTTTTTTTTTACTTGGGGAGATGAGAAGGTCCAGAGTTTCCCTGCCAGGTCCAGGTATCAAAGCCTTATGATGTGGTGTCCAGAATAAAGTGGAGGGTTAACTTCATTTGTCCTTCCTGCTCCAATCTCCTTTTCTTCTCCTTCATTTGACAGTCTTCTTTTTCTTCTGACACTGTCTTCTGTCCTTGGCTCCTTCTGCTCCTTTACCTTTCTGCTTATTTTGCGCACTTCTGCTCCTTTCTCATTCTGATCCCTTTCTGCTCCTTGCAGACTCTTTCTGCTCCTTCTTCTACTTTACCTTTGTGCTCCTTGCTGTCCCTTTCTGCTCCTTCTCCTACTTTACCTTTGTGCTCCTTCAGATTCTTCCTGCTCCTTTACCTTTGTGCTCCTTCTGTCCCTTCCTTCTCCTTGCAGACCCTTCCTTCTCCTTGCAGACATTTCCTGCTCCTTGCTGCCCCTTCCTGCACTTCCATAATCTATAGGCTGCCTCCCCATGCCTCACTTCTCTAATCTATAGGCTGACCCCCATGCCTTACTTCCCTAATAAATAGGTTGCCCCCCATGCCTCACTTCTCTAATCTATAGGCTGCCCCCCATGCCTTACTTCCCTAATCTATGGGCTGCTCCCCCATGCCTCACTTCCCTAATCTGTAGGCTGCCCCCTTCCCTTACTTCCCTAATCTATAGGCTGCTCCCCCATGCCTCACTTCCCTAATCTATAGGCTGCCCCCCCATGCCTCACTTCCCAATATAGGCTGCCCCCATGCCTCTCACTTCCCTAATATATAGGCTGCCCCCATGCCTCACTTCCCTAATATATAGGCTGCCCCCCATGCCTCACTTCCCTAATATTTAGGCTGCCCCCATGCCTCACTTCCCTAATCTATAGGCTATCTCAAACCCCCCCCCCATCCCTCACTTACCTCATCTGTAGGATGTCTCTATTGCCTACATGTGCTGCTCCCCTGCGGTTTAAGTCAGCAGAGAGAAGCAGGGATAGATGCAGATTCCTATCCCTGTCTCTCGCCATACACAACGGCGCTGGTATAGCAGTTCATTTTCAATCTCACACAAAAAATAGCAGAACAAGCGGATGCCCATGAGCGAGAGCCTGGTTGGAGACCAGTCAGAAGTAGGTCACTAAATTAGTGGCTTCCACACAGAATAATGGTAATCATTAGATTTGCTTTCAGAAGTAGCAACCGGTAACTCCCTGTAGAGTAGCGGCTGGCCAGTAATTAGTAGTGACAAACTTGTAATCAAGCCTTCCGTGTCCAGTGAAGGCCGTGGCTGACAGCTGTATGTACATATTTGTTGACTGTGCTCTTTATGTTTTCAAATACAATTCATGTTTGAGCACACAAAAAACATTTCAACATATTAGTGAAGCCAAAACCCCAAGTGCAGGAAAGCTGATTAAGTGCCAAGAGTGTCCCTTTAATGTAGTAGTTTTGGTGCATAGATGCTGACTCTTTTGTTGGACAATTTAAAACATTTCAATTTCTGAGAAAATTTTGACTGAAAACATGTTTCTGGTGACTTGACGGATTGACAACCGCAAGAGGCTCTTCTTCCTGAAGTGAAATGAATGAACATATACAAAAGTGTGAACCGTGCCTATTTATAAAAAGAACACACACAACAGAAAACATGCAATATGCATACATATATGTGAAAAATCTTCTAAATTCCAAGCATACTGAAGGATCATAGCGATATATATATATATATATATATACATACATTTATTTTGCATGTTTTTTATTGAAGTGCATTTTTTTATTTTTTTTACAAAGTGCCTCAATTTCACAACAGTTAGTTTTTTGTTTCATTTATATTTTTTATACAATGGTAAGGGAATCCATCAAGGTAAAAATAGTAGTACCGGTTGCCTACTATATGTCAGGTGCGTGTATAAAAGTAAAACAATTTAGAACATAGAGAAAGAAAAGTAAGAACAATTATAAAAAAACATGACCATGGAGTAGATCATAATGCTGGCGTCTTACAGTCAGTTCAAGTTGGAGCTCCTTGCCTCTTGGGGAGGGGAAGGGGGACACCGTTCTCTCTGGGTCACAGTTATGTGTTGTGGAGGGGGGCGCGGTCGTCGTTGATCTTGTAGGGATCCCCAGGGCTTGGAGGAAGGAGTCTGCTTCCGTTAGTGTGGACAGTCTTTTTGTGATGCCCCCTTTGGTTACCATCAGGGTTCTTGGCATTTTCCATCTATACTCAAAGCCTGTGTCACACTGATGGCTGGTCACAGGTCCCATTGATCGGCACTATAGTAGTGTGTTGCGCATTAGATCTCGAAAAAAAGGTGAGTTGAGAGGATGCAAAGGTAAGTGGAGTCTTTCCACGAACTGCAGCCACGATTTTTTTCGGCGGAAGAGTGACATCTGATTATGACATCTTGGGAGGCTGTAGGTGGTGCTGGTCTTGGTTTTGGGATTCGAAAGAAGCCTTTAAAGGTAAGTTTCTTTGCTTGAGCATGTGGCATGAGGGAGGTGGTGAGGCGTCTTAAGGTAGTGAGGTAGTTCCATCATGTCGATGGAGTCTGGTATGCCCCGAATCTTAAGGTTCGGGTGTCTGTGACGGTCCTCTGTCAGATCAACTCTGGTTGTTAGGGTAGAGTGGGAAGACTGCATTTGGTGGATAGATTCTTTCAGGCCTTGTACCTCCTGAAATATTGAATTAAATGCATTGGATTGGAAGAGCAATAGTTCGCTATGGAAACCATATGAGTGGACCAGAGATAATCAATGCTGATGATTTCACAGTAGGTGAATTAAGCTGCTGAGAGAATTCTGTCTTGGTGCTGGATTTTATCAGGTGTTTTTTTTTTTTTTATTTAACAAAGAGGCACCATTAATTTACATTGGAAAAGAAACACTGTAAAGTTAAAAATGAATAGTGATCTTTTTTTAATTATTTAATTTTGATTTATAAATGATTTAAATTTTTTGTTTAACAAAAGGGGAAGGAAGGATACAAAACAAAGAAAGGAGTGGGTATGGGTTACCACGCTTAAAAATGAATATTTAAGTACAGGTTTACTAAAGCATAGCACTTTGTTCTAACTTAAAAGTTAAAAAGCAAAATGTCCAAATTTCGTCCGAACAGAATGTCAAAGTTTGTCCATTAATTTTCGACTAAACTCTGTCGTTATTTTGAGAAGAATTCAATCGCGATCCTGGCCGCGACTGCTTCTTGCAGCCGATTAGTAGATTACCCCTTAATGTGGTATCCTGTGGGATTGCTATGTAATTGCAATTCCACAAGTATTAGGGAGTTCTCTACTAAAAAGCAGAAAGACCAAAATTGGTCTGTCAACTTTACTAATAAGTAAAATAAATTACCTACCCACCCAGTGACTTATGGTCCCCTAACCCCTAGTCACCCCCCAAAAACAAATACTGTACCAATCCCCCTCACCTTAATAATAGTGAGGTAGTGCGCTAAACGAAATGCCTGAAAACTAAAAAAAAACATAATACTTACAATTAGATGTCTTCTTTTTTCTACCATCTTCTTTTTTTCAGCCCGGAAAAGGGCCAAATAAAAATCCATAAAGTCCCGCCAAACCATTAAAATAAGAAAAAGATCCCATTGCAAACAAAAATAGTGAGGTGAATAGGGGACCCGCCGCCAATGGGTGGAGATAATAGGCTGGATCTCTGCGCTGGTTTGGGAAATTGCTACAGCTAAATCTCATTTCCAGTGAGAGGTAATTTTTGATTTAGCCAGACTATTGGAAGGGAGTCGAAGGTAAATGGAGAAGGTATATGAGAAGTTAAAGTTGAGTATCTTGAAAGAACTGCTGGAAGGGAGACTGGACGTGCACAGCGTCTTCCAATTCTTCCACGGAAGAAACAGAGTTTTAGCGTGAGGTGCAGACTTGGCTGGCCTAATCTATTGTAGGAGACCATCCAGACAACCTATTGTCCCTGTTGATTATTCCCTTTTGCGATTGTCCCTATAAATATGTGCCTATGTCCCAGTTGAGTTTGTGTGTTTTACCCTTCAACAAGTGTCGTCTGGTGTCTGGGGAAAGCGTTAAAGTCACTTCAGCATTTTCGTCTCCTTTGAGAGAGATCTTTTGATGGATGTACTCAACCAGAGTACTGGGGCGCCATGATACTTACCCTTAGTTCTCCGGCGTGCTGGTCTTACAAGAGTGTCTCCTCCCCGGTGAGATAATTATTGATTATCACTAGAGGGAAGCATTGGGGCTAGTCTGTATAGAAACATAGAATGTGACGGCAGATAAGAACCATTTGGCCCATCTAGTCTGCCCAATTTTCTGAAATACTTTTTAATAATTAGTCTCTTATATCTAAGATAGCCTTATGTCTATCCCACGTAAGCTTAAACTCCTTCACTGTATTAACTTACCCACTTCAGCTAGAAGGCTATTCCATGCATCCACTACCCTCTCAGTAAAGTAATACTTCCTGATATTTTTAAACCTTTGCCCCTCTAATTTAAGACTATGTCCTCTTGTTGTGGTAGTTTTTCTTCTTTTAAATATGGTCTCCTCCTTTACTGTGTTGATTCCCTTTATATAATTAAATGTCTCTATCATCCAAGCTATACATGTTAAGATCCTTTAATCTTTCCTGGTAAGTTTTATCCTGCAATCCATGAACCAGTTTAGTAGCCCTTCTCTGAACTTTCTCTAAAATATCAATATCCTTCTGAAGATGCGGTCTCCAGTACTGCGTACAATACTCCAAATTAGGTCTCACCAGTGTTCTGTACAATGGCATGAGCACTTCCCTCTTTCTACTGCTAATACCTCTCCCTATACAACCAAGCATTCTGCTAGCATTTCCTGCTGCTCTATTACATTGTCTGCCTACCTTTTAAGTCATCAGAAAATATATATATTCCTTTCCTCAGATGTTGAGGTTAGGACTCTATCAAATATTCTGTACTCTGCCCTTGGGTTTTTACGTCCAAGATGCATTATCTTGCACTTATCCACATTAAATGTCAGTTGCCACAATTCTGACCATTTTTCTAGTTTTTCCTAAATCATTTGCCATTTGGCTTTTCCCTCCTGGAACATCAACCCTGTTACATATCTTAGTATCATCAGCAAAAAGACATACCTTACCATCAAGACCTTCTGCAATATCACTAATAAAAATATTAAAGAGAATAGGTCCAAGTACAGATCCCTGAGGTACCCCACTGGTGACAACCCAAGCTTCGAATATACTCCATTGACTACAACCCTCTGTTGCCTGTCACTCAGCCACTGCCTTACCCATTCAACAATATTGGAATCCAAACTTAAAGATTGCAATTTATTGATAAGCCTTCTATGTGCAACAGTGTCAAAAGCCTTACTGAAATCTAGGTAAGCAATGTCTACTGCACCACCCTGATCTTTTATTTTAGTTACCCAATCAAAAAAATCAATAAGATTAGTTTGGCATGATCTCCCTGAAGTAAACCCATGTTGTCTCTGATGTTGAAATCCATGTATTTTTAGATGTTCAACAATCCTATCCTTTAACATGGTTACCATTACTTTCCCCACTACTGAAGTAAGGCTTACTGGCCTATAGTTGTCCGAGTCCTCCCTACTACCTCCCTACTAATCTTCTGGGACTACTCCTGTTAACAATAATTGGTTAAATAAATCTGTTATTGGTTTTGCTAGTACACCACTAAGCTCTTTTAATAACTTTGGGTGTATTCCATCAGGTCCCATTGACTTATTTGTCTTTACTTTTGACAATTGAAATAGAACCTCTTTCTGTGTAAACTCACGCATAATAAATTACTTATTTGTCCTTTTTCCTAAATGAGGCCCCTTTCCTTCATTTTCCTCTGTAAATACTGAACAAAAATATTAATTGAGGCAGTCAGCTAGACCTTTATCCTCATCTACATACCTTCCTTCTTTTGTTTTTAATCCAAGTAATCCTTGTTTTACTTTCCTTTTCTCATTTATGTATCTAAAAAATGTTTTGTCCCCTTTTTCACTGACTGTTCTACTTTCTCTTCTGTGTGTGATTTGGAAGCTTTTATATCTTGCTTAGCCTCTTTCTGCCTAATCTTATAGATCATTCTGTCTTCCTCACTCTGGTTTTTTTTTATAATTATTAAATGCTAACTTTTAGTTTTTTTTTACTATTTTGACTACATCTGCGGAGTACCACAATGGTTTCTTGAATTTTTTGCTGTTACTGACAAGCCTAATGCAATTTTCAGTTGCCTTCAGCAGTGCAACTTTTAAATAATCCCATTTCTCTTGAACTCCATTTAAATTGCTCCAGTCTGATAATGACTCCTTTACACATATTCTAATTTTAGAAAAGTCTGTTTTTTTTAAAGTCTAAAACTTTTGTTTTTGTGTGGTGTGACTCAGTCACTGTTCTTATAGTAAACCACACTGAATGATGATCACTGGATCCTAAACTTTCACCTACAGTAATATCTGATACCAAATCTCCATTTGTTAACACTAAATCTTGTGTGGCCTCTTTACGAGTTGGCTCCTCAACGACTTGTTTTAGAGACAATCCCAGTAGGGAGTTTAGAATATGTGTGCTCCTGGCACAAGCAGCTAATTTTGTTTTCCAATTCACATCAGGAAGATTAAAGTCACCCATGATGATAACTTCCCCCTTCATTGTGATTTTAGCTATTTCCCTAAACTAGTAGATTATCTAACTTTTCTATTTGTCCTGGGGACCTATAAATCACACCTACACGAGTTACTGTATGATTACTAAATTTTAACGTAATCCAAACGGACTCTATGTTCACCTCACTAACTTTTATTAGGCTAGATTTAATGCTATCCTTCACATACAGGGCCACTCCTCCCCCTTTCTTGCCTTCCCTGTCTTTTCTAAATAAAGAGTACCCTGGTATTGCTATGTCCCAGTCATTTTTCTCATTATACCATGTCTCAGTAACAGTGACTGTAGCAGAACCCCTTTTTGGCTTTCCCTTTCATTTCGTTTATTGTTGGCACTGCAGAGGTTTTCCTGTGCCTGGAGTATACAGAATTCCATGTGGTCATACTTTGTTCGGTATAACAATACCAGCTTACATGTGAACGATTAAATTCACCATACGAACAAAGTACCAAATGAACTGGATCACCCTGATGTGAAGAATGGATATAATTTACCTCCCTGATTGCTTTTCATATTCCCTTGTACGCACGAACACGCCGCCATAATCCCTGGGTGACCGCCATTTTGGCAGCCGAACACGTGGCGGCAGCCATCTTAAACCCACGAACAGCGGTGTTTGGTTGTCGAGTGTCTGGAACTCAAAACGGACGCTCAACTAGCCAAACACCACTAAGACCTCCAGGGTTACTGGGATACTGTTGGATTGTATTGCTGATTGTGCTGGATATTCTCTTGGATTTATTACTTGTTCCTGCATCCTCTTAATATATTGGTGGAGTTTAGCTGTGGAAAATCAGCTCTCCGCTACATTGGTGGCAGCAGTGGGATCCAGACCCACAGAGGAGAAAGTACCAGGAAAGGCAACAGCACTGGATTGCACCACTTTAAAGCGAGCCACTTTAAAGGAACTCCTAGAAGCAAGGGGTATTCCCGGCTGCAACAAGACCAAGGCAGTCCTGGTTGCAGAAGTCATGGCGGAATACAGAGCAGAAGAGGGTCCGGCTTTGGTACAGAATAACCCAGCAGAGGAAAAGGGGCGGTTGGAATTTCAAAGAGAACTGCAGTTCCGGCCGTCATTCTCTGGGGAAAACCCACCAACAGAGATTATCTCCAGAACCATGATGGAGGTACAGGAGTTTGTACTACGACAGAGGGTCCAACAAACTCCAGAGAGGAACCAGATCGTACCCATGGTACAGGAGAACAAACCAAAGGTACCGTACAAGGCTTTTAAGACTTATGTGGAAGCAGAGGAAGAAATTGATGCCTTTTTGGAGGATTTTGAAAGGTTGTGCCACCTGCATAAGTTAAATGTCGAGGATTGGGTTCCCATTTTAGCAGGGTGGCTAACGGGAAGAGCAGCAGAAGCGTACCGCATGGTACCAGATGACGAACTAAGGGATTATCACTGGGTTAAGGAAGTCATACTGGCCAGATATGCCATGACACCAGAAGCGTACCGAAGGCGGTTCAGGGACCTTAAAGAGACTGGTAAAGATTCACACGCAGAATGGGCTTGTCGACTACAAAGAGCGGCACTGGGTTGGATATAGGCAAACAAAGAGCAATCCATGGAGGATTTGTTGCAGATGATATTGTTGGAGCAATTTTTCGATGGACTGGCATCAGATACAGGAGTGGGTGAGGGATCGCAATCCTACAAACCCCAGAACAGCAACCCATTGTTACCAGGCAGAGGCTGCAATGACCTACGACGCTGGAGTTCCCACCACCACAGTAGAACAGTGGGAAGTGCTCTATGAGGCAGATCCCCTACAGGCCCACGCAGACAACCGCCAACACCATTGGCAGACCGTCTACTTAGAGGGAAAGACAGTACAAGGGCTTCGCGATTCTGGAGCCACCATTACTTTGGTAAAGAGCCACCTAATCCCCACAGAAGAAAGGACCAGCAGGACTGTAGCCATAAGGGTAGCCGGGGGAGCAGTATACGACTACCCACAGCCCGAGTGCATTTGAATTGGGGGGCGGGTCATGGGAATGTGGAGGTGGGGTTGATGCCACAACTCCCACCGGAAGTTTTGTTGGGGAATGACTTGGGGAAATTGACATCGGCATATGAACCTCAGACCCCAGCGGTTGGAGAGGCCCACCCCGTGGTCACACGCCAACAGGCCCGCACCCAGGACTACAACTCACACCCGGAGGGACCCTTCCGCATCTGTAGCACCCTGGGCCCCACCTAGTGAATTTGAAGCCGAAGTAGCCACAGACCCTACGCTACAAGTATAAAGGGATAAGATAGCCACAGGGGTGGCAGGGACAGACGGAGAGAGATTCATATGGGAGGGTAAGCTTTTATATAGAGAGACCGAGAAAAGGGTAGACGGGGCAGACCCAGTCATTATGCGCCAGTTAGTGGTACCACAGCGGTACCGATCCGAATTACTTTGGATAGCGCATGATATACCGCTATCCAGACACCTGGGGGTCAGTCTCACCCGGTATCGGTTGACCCGGAGTATTGTGGTACCTGCGACACCTGCCAGAGGGTAGGAAAAAGGGGAGACCGCAGGAAAGCCAAATTACATCCCCTACCCATAGTGGAGGAGCCATTTAGCCGAGTAGTGGTGGACATACTAGGCACCTTAAGGAAGGCTAGCACCTCGGGCAAGAAATACATATTAACAGTAGTAGACTATGCTACCAGGTATCCCGAGGCGGTAGCACTAACTAACATTCATGCAGAAACGGTGGCTGAGGCCCTCATGAAGATTTTCTCCCGGGTAGGATTACCCTGGGAGATTCTCTCCAATCAGGGCACTCAGTTTACTGCTGAGGTCACACAGCAGCTATGGAAGTTTTGTGACATGAGACCAATAATCAGTGCCCCATATCACCCCCAGACCAATGGGCTCTGCGAACGGTTTAATGGAACATTAAAACATATGCTCCGAACGTTCGCAGAAACCCATCGGGACTGGGAAAGATTCCTACCACACCTCCTCTTTGCTTATCGGGAGGTGTCGCAGGATTCCACGGGGTTCTCTCTATTTGAATTATTATATGGGAGACGGGTCCGAGGTCCCCTGGATCTCATTAAGGAGCACAGCTCCACGGGTACTCCCATCATACCCTATGTACTGGAGTTTCGGAACCGACTGGAGGAACTAAACCGAGCCGTACGGGAGAACCTCCAGGCGGCCCAGACACGTCAGCGCACATGGTATGATCGGAACGCCAGGAACCGTAGCTTTCAGGCAGGACAGAAAGTTTTAATTTTAAAACCTGTTCAGCATGACAAGCTACAGGCCGCCTGGCAGGGCCCATATAAGGTGCTGGAGCAGCGCTAATTGGCCCATGTGCTGGCTCAGGGGGGCGATGCATGATTCATGTGAATATGCTGAAACCCTACCGGGAATGCTCCGACGAGGTGACAGCCATTTGTGCACCCCCCTCTGAAGAGTTTGACAACCTTCCCCTTCCAGACCTGCCAGAAGACGGGAAATCAGGTAGCGACATAGCCAAGGTTAAGCTGGAGGAGCGGCTAAGTCCTCAGGAGCGTAGTGAGGTACAACAGTTGCTGAGGGAAAAACAAGAGTCCTTCTCTAATGTACCAGGTTACACGGCCCTGGCAACTCACCGCGTAGAAACCCCAAGCCAGTTACCTATGCGCCAAACCCCATACCGCATACCAGAGGTGGTGCGGGAACACATGCGCCAGGAGATCAATGAGATGCTCCAACTGGGGGTCTTTGAGCCTTCTCACAGCCCCTGGGCTTCCCCAGTAGTCCTTGTACCCAAACGGGATGGTACCACTCGTTTCTGCATGGACTACTGGAGATTAAATGAGAAAACCGTATCTGACACCTATCCTATGCCCAGGATAGACGAATTGCTGGACCGGATGGCCAGTGGCCAATACCTCACTACAATTGATCTTTGTAAGGGGTATTGGCAGATTCCTTTAGCCTCAGACGCTATCCCTAAGTCGGCGTTCGTCACACCATTCGGCTTGTACCAATTTAAGGTAATGCCATTTGGGATTAAGAACGCCCCGGCCACGTTCCAGCGGATGGTGGACCATCTCCTAGATGGGTTCCAGGACTATACCTATGCTTATCTCAATGATATTGCCATCTTATATATCAATACCTGGCAGGAGCACCTAACCCGGGTTGTAGAGACAAACTGAATTGGAAAAATGATTCGTGAGCATCCCGGACATCCCCAAGTCGATCCGTAATAGATCTGACTGTGTATGCCGGCTTATGGGCAGTGTAGCAGAACCCCTTTTTGGCTGTCCCATTCATTTCGTTTATTGTTGGCAGTGCAGAGGTTTTCCTGTGCCTGGAGTATACAGAATTCCATGTAACTGTATGTGGCCTCCGTATAAGAATACCAGCTTACATGTGAACGATTAAATTCACCATACGAACAAAGTACCAAATGAACCGGATCACCCTGATGTGAAGAATGGATATAATTTACCTCCCTGATTGCTTTTCATATTCCCTTGTACGCACGAACACGCCGCTATAATCCCTTGGTAACCGCCATTTCGGCAGCCGAACACGTGGCGGCAGCCATCTTAAACCCGCGAACAGCGGTGTTTGGTCGTCGAGTGTCTGGAACTCAAAACGGACACTCGACTAGCCGAACACCGCTAATACCTCCAGGGCTTCAGAATACACTGATGGAAACACACGAACGGCCCGGCGCTCGGTAGCATGAATATTCGGTAGGGATTCATACGGTTACCGAATTCACTATGGATGGTATAGCCTTTTGGGGCTTTTGGGGCACGAATGGAGACCAACCGCAGGGCCAGATTTCATGGAACTATTTTCGGCTACCTTACCCATGCGGTCGGTCAAAACTTTACCTTCCCATAACTCCCGAACCCCTGGTCTGATATGAGTGATTTTTGGATATGTTTCTCACCCAGATCAGGGCTACCAGGGGATATTCCACATATTTGGGGTACATCTGAAAAGTGGGAAAAAGTATGCCTCGTATAATTGTGTTAATTGCTAATCTAAGGGGAGGAGATGTGTGGGAGGTAACGTCTATGGGATTGGTTACTGTACTAATTGTGGTGAATCCCTCCCTTCCATAGGAGAATCTCATAAAAGCAGGAATGTTGCTATTAAAAGTTAGTTCTACTCCTGATACTGTGTGTCGTCCAGTGATTGGGAAAGGTGATGGGATACTATTGGATTGTATTGCTGATTGTGCTAGATATTCTCTTGGATTTATTACTTGTTCCTGCATTCTCTTAATATATTGGTGGAGTTTAGCTGTGGAAAATCAGCTCTCCGCTACAGCGACTAAATCTACATTATCAGTTGCCATTATTGCCACAAGTTCATGAATCTTATTCCCTAGACTGCGAGCATTTGTAGACATGACTCTAAGCTTGTCATTTTTTAACACACTTGCTAAAGGCACCTTCTGTCCTTGTTTTGTGGGGCAATTGGATTGATGTTTTAAATATTAAAGTCATCTTTAATATTTTTATTAGTGATATTGCAGAAGGTCTTGATGGTAAGGTATGTATTTTTGCTGATGATACTAAGATATGTAACAGGGTTGATGTTCCAGGAGGGATAAGCCAAATGGCAAATGATTTAGGTAAACTAGAAAAATGGTCAGAATTGTGGCAGCTGACATTTAATGTGGATAAGTGCAAGATAATGCATCTTGGACGTAAAAACCCAAGGGCAGAGTACAGAATATTTGATAGAGTCCTAACCTCAACAATTGAGGAAAGGTAGGCAGACAATGTAATAGAGCATCAGGAAATGCTAGCAGAATGCTTGGTTGTATAGGGAGGGGTATTAGCAGTAGAAAGAGGGAAGTGCTCATGCCATTGTACAGAAGATTGGTGAGACCTCACTTGGAGTATTGTACACAGTACTGGAGACCGTATCTTCAGAAGGATATTGATACCTTAGAGAGGGTTCAGAGAAGGGCTACTAAACTGGTTCATGGATTGCGGGATAAAACTTACCAGGAAAGGTTAAAGGATCTTAACATGTATAGCTTGGAGGAAAGACGAGACAGAGGGATATGATAGAAACATTTAAATACATAAAGGGAATCAACACAGTAAAGGAGGAGACTATATTTAAAAGAAGAAAAACTACCACAACAAGAGGACATAGTCTTAAATTAGAGGGACAAAGGTTTAAAAATAATATCAGGAAGTATTACTTTACTGAGAGGGTAGTGGATGCATGGAATAGCCTTCCAGCTGACGTGGTAGAGGTTAACACAGTAAAGGAGTGGTGTCAGGAGCAAGGATTTGGCTTCGTTTTTCATGGTAGCTCTGTTTGGAATGTTGGAATGGAAATAAACTGTACAAAAAAGATGGTTTGCATCTTTCTCAAAAGGGAACAAATGTTCTCAGTGAGCAGTTCAGAGCTTTTGCTAGGATGTATTTAAACTAGGAGGGGGGGGCAAAAGGGTGATAAAACATAGAAACATAGAATGTGACGGCAGATAAGAACCATTCGGCCCATCTAGTCTGCCCAATTTTCTAAATACTTTCACTAGTCCCTAGCCTTATCTTATAGTTAGGATAGCCTTATGCATATCCCACGCATGCGTGGGATATGCATAAGGCTATCCTAACTATATTATATCCTAACTATAAGATAAGGCTAGGGACTAATGTAAAGTATTTAGAAAATTGGGCAGACTAGATGGGCCGAATGGTTCTTATCCACAAAATTCGGGAGTTCCATGCGAACAAAATACCGAACACACACTCTGGCTGATAGTTGGTGTTTGTTTGTATGGTTAATAAGAACAAACGTACCAAACGGAGCTCTCCTGACGTGTGAGGAAGAAGCAGGCATTTGTTAAAGTTCAGCGGTGTTCAGGAGTTTCAGTGTCCAATTTTAGTTCCATGCGATCGATGCCCAAACACTGCTGCCTGCATTCCTGGCCTCACAATCAAAAAACCCACACTGATGGAACAAGGTTAACAAGTGTCATTAAGCTCAGAGGTGGTCCGCAGTTCATGGGTTGGTTCGGTTCCCAAACAGTCCCAGGGAATCCCACGAACTAATGTCATTTAAATCTGTCATTTAAATGTATCACAGTGCCAGTGTCCCCATGTCGCCCTGTCCCCTAGTCTCCCAGTGTCTGTGTCCCTATTTCTCCCAGTGTCCCCATGTCATGGGGCACAGAGTCACATGGGGGCACAGAGACACTTGGGGGCACTTGTGGATACAGACATGGGGACACTGGGAGACATGGGGACACTGGGAAACAGGGACACAGGGAGACATAGGGACACAGGGAGAAATGGGGTCACAGACACTAGGGACACAGACATTTGGAGACTAGGGGACACAGACACTAGGGACACTGGCTGGGAGACATGGAGACACAGACACTTGGGGACACAGACATTTGGGGACACTGGGAGGCATGGGGACACTAGGGACACAGACACTGGAAGACATGGGGACACAGACACTAGGGACACTGGCTGGGAGACATAGGGACACTGGGAGACATGGGGACACTGACACTGGCTGGGAGACATGTGGACACTGGGAGACATGTGGACACTGGGAGATGTGGACACAGGCATTTGGGGAAACTGAGAGACATGGGGAAACAGGTAGACTAGGGGTTACTGAGAGCCATGGGGACACTGAGACACTAGGGACACTGGCTGGGAGACATGGGGACACTGGGAGACATGGAGACACTGTGTCCATAGTGTCTCCATGTCCCAATGTGTCTCCCTATGTCTCACAGCGTCCCCACGTCTCAGTGTCCCCTAGTGTCTCTGTCCCCATGTGTCCCAGTGTCTCCCTGCTGCCTTTCCCCCCCATCCCTCACATATCTGAGCCGTAGTCTGTCTCTGCAGGCTGGGAGCTGCTGTCTGGACTCTCTGTGCTGTGTAGCTGCTCCCCCGCAGATCAGTTAGTAGAGAGAGGCAGGGAGATGCTGTAACTTTCTATCCCTGCCTCTCTCCATACACAGGGATCCCTACTGGCCAATGCTTGTATTGCAGAGTAATCTCCATTTATACTGAGAAAAATATTTGTATTACAGGTATTACTGCAATACCATCATGGCCAGGCAGCCTCAAATACTGGCTGCGCCTTAAAATACCAGTTAGGTGGCAAACCTAAGAGTAGTGTGTTTTAAAAAAAAAATGGGCCTATTCCATGGACCTGAGCCCGGAACTGCAATTCCATCAGCCCCTATGTTAATCCGGTCCTGCATGTGTTCCTTGAAAGGTAAAAATTTCCTGGAAAGGCACAGTTCCCTTTAGGGTGGTCATATATAAAAACAATCAAACAATAAAAAATAAAAAAAAACACAAAGCTCTCCTACAGTCATCTGCCATTTTCTAGTAATGTACTTTAATTTTAATAATAGTCTTGCATGTCAGCAGGGGGCCCAGAACATATTAACTTGTGAGAGTTTAGACTCTCTTGATTTGCCAGTGACCTAGAAATATTAAAGGACCACTCCAAGCACCATGACCACTACAGTACGCTGTAATGGTTATAATGCCAGGAGTGCCCTAGCACCCACTAATGTGAGCAAACAATTTGCAAATTGTTTAACATTGCACCTGTGGACTGCTGGACCAGTAACCTCTTTTAGCCGGAAATGACCGAATCTGAGCTAGCCCAGTGGTGCAGGTTGTAGCTCGTTGGCTCTGTACCGGAACTTCCAGCTCTCCTGTAGATGGAGACTGATGTCAGATAAGTTTTCAAATAATTTGCAAGTGGTTATGGTGCTTGGCATGTTCCTTTAAGGGAACCACAAAGTTCTTGGTCATTGCTAGCTGTGTTCTAACTCTCTTCTAACCCTAGTCTCCTCTCTTACAGTGTACTTCTCCATGCAAGTGATCTGGGCACGCCGAAGGTTTAAGATCTCTCCTCCTAATACATCAGGCCATCCATGTTTTGAACGAGTCTTCAGAGCTCAGTAAGACTATCTACTTGAATAATTTTTTTAAAAAAGTTTCCTTATTCAGTTAACCTTGACTATGTAACATGTTTTTTCCACATTTCTTTCTTTTTAACTAAAATATAGCTAGTGAAATACCTCCTTATGTTAAACTGTTACGCGGTCTATGAACATAGGGGTTAGTTCATTACAATCAGATATGATCAGTGGCAGCTGGTATAGTTTAAAGATGGTGGGCTCCATACCATTAACCTTGTGAGATGTCATGCCCTGTTCAAAACCAGATGGATCTCCTGTCCTCAATAAAGGGGAGAATAGAAACTGCATATATCATGACCGACACATGTTCTTTTAACACACACTCATCACTAGTCATTACAATGCCAATACGTTTGATGGTGTGTGTGTTTTATTCATGAAAAGTATTGTATATGCAGTCCATAAGTTTTTTCTGGCAGGGGGCTGCTCTCTCTGTACCTGAGACATTCAAGATGAATGTAAAATTGATGGATAGCTGCCAACCAATTTGCTCTTACCTTGTAAATGTTTGCACTAATTGAGGTGTAAAACGTCCAAAGGATATAAAGCACAGAAACCATGAAAACAGTCAGACTGAATGGAAACAAAATAATTTGAATTGTCTAGATCAAGGGTTCCCAACGCAGTCCTTAAAGACCACTATAGGCACCCAGACCACTTCAGCTCAATAATTTTAATTTTCCATCTAGGGTTAACCCTGCCTGCTGTAAACATAGTTTCAGAGAAACTGCTATGTTTACATTAGGGTTAATCCAGCCTCTAGTGGCTGTCTCATTGACAGCCGCTAGAGGCGCTTCCGTGCTTCTCACTGTGATTTTCACAGTGAGAAGAGGCCAGCGTCCATAGGAAAGCATTGACAATGCTTTCCTATAGACTGACTGAATGCGCAATTGGCGGAAGAGGAAGGAGAGTCCCCAGCGCCGAGGGAGCCCGGCGCTGGAGAAAGGTAAGAATACAGGGATAAGCACTCTTGCAGCATTAATCAATGTTTTGACAGGCTTTTCTTGCTTGTTGAGAGGGATAAAGAAGTAATGTGAAGAAGCAATGTATTAGGAGTAATTGGAGGAGTATCCTTCTCTGAGTCCGGTGGAGCTTGGATCACAGGATATCAACAACACAGCTTCGGCAACATTTTAATCCCTCAGTGTTGCCAACAATCAGCTGAGGAAGTATCATGCTTTAAGGTCAAATGAGCATTCCAAATCAATTACCACAGCATTTTCTGACTTCTGTAATACCTAGTCATTGGGCTGATGATCTCATCAAGCTGTGTCCTACAACTCCATCTATCAGTTTAATGACTCCTAGGTTTAAGCCAGTTACCACAAATTAATCCTTTGAGATCATTGAGACAGACATGTATTATTGATACAATGTTGCACTATAGTAATTTTTTTTTTTGCTTTCACTACCATCTCATCTCTGACATTGAGTGCTACCATTCATAGAAGAGGGCTGTGGATCCCCCTAAGGATCCAGAGGTGCCACACATTAGAGCCAAGTGATTTTTGGCTCCTTTTTTTGTGTGTGTATACTATTAATCTTTGTACATCTTTCTGCATTTTTTTTAGAAAATATCTGCACCATTATTTATATGAGATTCCAACCTCAAATTGGAACTTGCTTGTAGAATGTCAAGCACTCCCAAAGGTTATGTGAAATTTTCACCATTAGCATTAATGGGATACTGTCACTGCCCAGGATTTTTATAAGTATGTTGAGTTATCCCCTAATCTACAAATATGTGTTTGGGAAATTTTAAAAATGAAATTTCGAAATCCACACAGCTGTATTTACTACTATTTTGGAACTGTGAGTACCTTTTATCTTTACCCCCATAGATATAATTGCTATAAATAGTGCCCTTTTCTGCCATTGAAAATAGTTATTGAAAGAGGAGAAATATGAACAATGGGGGTTAAGTTTAACCTCTTAATGACCAAACTTCTGGAATAAAAGGAAATCATGACATGTCACACATGTCATGTGTCCTTAAGGGGTTAAAAAGTATTTGGAAAAGTTGTTTAATACTAAAAGGTTTTTTATATACTTAACCCCCAATGTGTCTGTTTTCTTATCGATTTGCATTGTGTGCCATGGTGTTGTAGTTGATTTACTGCAAACCAATTAGTTTGAATGACTATCTGTTCCTGTCCAAATTAAAGATAATAAAGTTGCGTGCACGCAGAAGTAAATTCACACTGAGACACAGAGTTCAGGTTAATGAAAGAACTTCGGAGAAGTTTAATGGCTTCTGACAGAAAATGGGTGCGCAGACCCTTTTAAAGGCATTATTACATCACTGAAGAATTCAAGATAACAGCAAATAGACACTATTGATTGGTCCAGGTGTTAAGTGGTTAGTTAGATACCCTCCTATCAAGAGGTGATGTCATCCTTGACACGGGAGTGGACACAAGATGTAGGCGCCATCTTGTTAGCACGAGGTGTTCACTCGATGGGAGGGGTGCTTTGGCAGCCATTTTGAGTAGTTAGTATTGTTAGCTTCTCAAGGTTAGGTTTCAAGGCTTTTAGTAAATACACATTTTATCAAAGCTATTTCTTGCTGACATGCAAATTCTATGTTCTATAGACAAAGCTTTCTTGTAAAACTATGGGGCCTCTTAGAGGTATAGCAAGAGGATTTAAAGGGGCCTTACAGATTTATAGAGGCCTAATAATTCTACAACAGTCCCCCCTTAAAATGTTATTTGCTAAAAGACAAAACTTTATTTGTTAGTATCAGAAGATGTGTTAGCCCAAAGACACAGAAACCCCATGACCGCTGACTTAGTGTTAATGCAAAGTGCAAGTCTATCCCTCTCTTGACCCTAACAGGCTGCAGCACATCCGTCAGTACGGCTCAGGAACACTCTTCACTCTGCTGGTAACCCATAGTGGCTTATCCACTACTTCTCCGTACGGCAGTCTACCCATAAAGACGGACGCTGTCCCTGTACTGTCCCTGTACTGGACTTTTTGCACTTCATCAGTATAAGGGAGAGTTTGTAGCGGAATACAGGGTGAGGTGAGATCTTGATCATCGATTGTCAGATGAGTGAAGGTTGGTGTTGCTTGGTCTACAGTTTTCTGCAGGAATTTCCTTAGGCATGGGAGGACACAACAAATGAGAAGAGCGAGAATAAAAAGAAAAATTAGTAAGGCAATACCAATCTGGACTAAAGCTCTCTGCCAACCAGTCATCCAACCAAACCATTTTTCCCAGGGATCAGTAACTCCAGAGTTTCTCTTTAACTCTTCTGAGAGTCTATTTAATTTAGCTATGGCCAGAGTGACTTTACCATTAGGACCTGTGTTTTCTGGAATGTAAGTGCAACAAGTCATGGGGTCAGGTAGTATTTTACATACATCCCCCTTTTCAGCTAGGATCATGTCTAAGGCCATTCTGTTCTGGAAGGTCATCTGGGATGTGGCCCGCAACTGCTCGGCCAGGCCCTGGAGGGCATCCCTGGTGTAGTTGACAAAACGCTGTTGGTTGTAATAAATGTAGTTAATCCAATTAAGGTTTTTGTTGGCAGTAACTATAGTGAACAGTGATTCAAAACCTACAGCTACTTCATCTCTAGCTTTAAATTCATTAGGCACCCCCCTAGGTACCCCAATGGCATCTATGTAAATGTGGGGGTCAAAACTGCCTTTTACTGGGGTTTCGCGCCTCACTCTGGCTGGTGTATGTGGAGGGTCGTATGTGTCATGATGATTATCAGAAATAATATGAATGGGCATGATAACTTTGGCTAGGGTACACTCACCCCACCACTCAGTTTCCAGCCTAGATCTTAACTGTAGATCCCCACATAACCAGTAAATATCCCCCAATGACCTGGTATGGTGTTGCAACAGGCATATAGGAACAGTTCTGTAGGTGGCACAATAGCCATTAGAAAAGTTACCCATGAATTTACCAATCCCGTCATAGATAGCATAACAAGTGTAATTACCCGTGATTCCATCTGGGGGTTTGACATTACCAATTAAGAGGGGGTACTCTGCCGCCCATGATTCGCAGAGGGATCTGTTGAAATTATAGCGGTAGGCAAAAAGACTAAGGAAGCAATTCTCTATCTCCAAAGGGAGAGTTAGAGGAACGGTGCCAAGATGAGGTCGAGCACCACCACACACATAGCATGCGGTTTTGTTATGTTTATTAGCATTATATTTCATCCACTCTAACCATAAATTAATGTAATTGAATCCAGTTTCAGCGGCCATGGTATCTTCAAAAGTGGGGTTAGCGATGGCCATCATATCTTTAAAGGACTGGATATGTGGTTTTAGCGGATTTGGGACCATATGATCAGCCCCTTGCCACTCTGGAGAGTGGTACATATCTCTGAGGTAGAAATGACCTAATTTGTTGTAGGAACCTTCCTTCCAATACATTCCCATTACATATCGGTCTGCATCCTCGGGGCCAGGATGTTCAATATTTAACATTAATTTCATAGGGGTACTTCCTCCAGGCTTTCTTAAAGTCATTCTTTGAAGGAGGGATCTACCCTGATTGTCTATCTTAGATAAAGCACTTTTGGGTTTATAACCCCAGGCAGGCCCAGTATTCCATCCCGCAGCCCCCCAGTAGTTACAGTCATAACCCCATTGTTCATCTACTACACAAACGTAAGGGTCTTTTGCTTGTGGTATATCTTTATAAATGGCTTGAATCTGTGACTTAGGGAATGGACATTCTACAATATCACAGTAGTCAAAGGTGAATGTAGCCACGTGGGTACATGATGAATTATACCAGAAAGTGTACCCACTAGCATCTTTGGTGATGGCCACCTGCTGAGCTTTAAGGAGGCCAACTAAGGAGATAATGTACCAGAGGCACATGGTTGCATAGAGTTAGCTTCCTCTGGGGCAGGTGTCTTCTTGCAATGGGAAGCGTGGATCCAGTTAGGCCTTCCGGCCAATTTGACAGAGGTAGGGGAGATCAGGAGAACTTGGAACGGTCCGTCAAATCTTGGTTCCAGGGTGTGTTTTCGCACAAATTTCTTGACCAGAACCCAGTCACCAGGGAGCAGACTGTGGTTGCCTGTGTCAGAATCAGGATCTGGAATTGAAGAGAAAACTTGGGCATGGATTTTGTTTAAAGCATTTGCGAGTTCAGTTACATAATCTACTAAAACATCAGTTTGAAGTTGTAGTTGTTGGGGAAAATAGTAACCTAGCCTAGGTGCAGTCCCAAATAGAATCTCATATGGGGACAGTGAGGTAGTATTTTTGTACAAGAGCATTCATTAGATCCTTTGATAAATGTGCAGGTCCATGTGCCCATTGTACGACTGCTGGGTACAAATTCTTAGGGAGGCAGAAATTGAGGTTGTTGGAGTACACTCCATCCTTCAGAACTGCCCCTTTCTGTTTCCATTTTTGTATTTCTTCAGGAGCAACTGCAGCCTGTTGTTCCCGTAGGGTTTTTAGATCAGTTGGAAGTGTCTGCAAGGTAAATGTGGGAGTTTCTTCGTTTCCGGACACACTTCTGTAGTTCTCTTGCAGCTTGTTTTGCAACTTGATCAGCCAGATGGTTGCCCCTTGCTTCATCTGAGTCCAACTTCCCATGTGCTTTTATCTTCAAAACAGCCACTTCTTCTGGGAGTAGGAGGGCGTCCATCAGCTACTTGATTGCGGAACCGTGCTTGATTGGTGTACCGGCGGAGGTAAGAAATCCTCTTGTTTTCCAAATTAATCCGAAGTCGTGAGCCACGCCCAGTGCATATCTTGAATCCGTGTAGATATTGGCGCGCTTTCCTTCAGAGATCTTGCATGCTGAAGTCAGGGCTTGCAATTCAGCTTCTTGTGCAGACATAGTTGATGGTAAAGATGATGATTTGACAATTTCATCTGTTGTGGTTACGGCATATCCTGTATGGTATCTTCCTTCTTCATCAGCATATCTTGAGCAGTCCACAAACAGGGTGAGATCGGGATCTACCAATGGGTCTTCATGCACAGTTGGTAGATGTGTTGTTTCCATTTTCATCTGTTCAAAACAGTCATGAGGTGTATTTGGGTCGTAGTCATTCACTATGGTTAAATCTTGGAACTCATTTTCCAGGAAATGACGTGGCCATGCTTTTAGGTGGTCAGTTGTTGGATATTTGACAACACCATTTTCCTGTAGCTGTGATTCGTCCATAGTGGCCCATGCTTTTGCCATAGGCCCAAGATCATTCCATGATATTGTTTTCAACTTGGTCACAGGGACATGTGGAATGGCAGTGTCCCAATGACGGTACAAATACTTGAGTTCCGGAGGTAGATGAATCAGGACCATACTGTTGCCTTCAGAATCACAATAGAAGTCTTGTGCAGTGAGTTTTACTTCGACCAGATGATAGAGTTCATCTTCATAGCAGGGTTCAGGAGTGAGGTTTGGTTTGTACCACATGGTACAGAAGGCATATCCTGCTCCGTCATGAAGGAGTGCTTGTCCATCATGAAAGGATAGGTTGGGATGCATTTCCTTCTTGATGGTGCCAGTGAGAAGAAAAACATAAGTTTTGTCCATGATGAATCCGTAGTATACACCCCCCTCAGGGAGTGGCAGAAGAGTGGACGGATTGAGAACTTGACATCTTTGAAGGGTAATGTTGTCAGGCAACAAAAGATGACATTGAAGGCGAAGATGCCTAGCAGGAGTAACATGCTTAAGTTGGACCTGGTTGACTATGGCAGAAATGTCATGAGGGGCCAAGACAACCAGGGGGTGGCCAAGGACAAGATCTCCAGTTCTTTCAATGAGCTCTTTGGCAGCACAGACGGCCCGAAGGCAAGTGGGACGTCCTCTGGCCACAATATCCAGTTGGCAGGAGAAAAATCCAATAGGCCTTTGGCGGCCTCCAGGACCATGGGCCTGAGTGAGTACTCCTGTTGCATGGCCTTGTCTTTCAGAAACAAACAATTTAAAGGGTTTGGTATAGTCTGGTAGGCCAAGAGCAGGAGCAGAAGCAATAGCACGTTTAAGAGTACAGAAGTTGTCAAGGGCTTCTGTGGACAAGCAAAATGGGTCTGACTTGAGAGCATCATAGAGAGGTTGCATAAGGAGTGAGGCTTCTGGGATCCATGCTCGGCAATAGGAAATGAGGCCTAGGAAGGCGTGTAGTGACTTTGAGGTCCTTGGAGGTGGAATGTCCAGTACTGCTCTAACTCGGTCACGGGTGAGATGTCTGGTTCCCTGAGACAGACAATGGCCAAGGAAGATAACAGTAGGTTGGCAGAATTGCAGCTTGAGACGTGAAGCTTTACATCCTTGTTCTGCCAGATAGCAAAGAAGATTAATTGAGCATTGTTCTGATGTGGGTAGATCATCTCCACAGTAAAATGGGAAGGGAACAAAGAACTGTAGTGTCTTTTCGTGACAAAGGTGTATTTAATTGAACCTGGCCGTCTGCAGTGAGGGTGATGGATGCTTGGAGGCGGGATAGGACATCAGCACCAACACAAGAGTCATCGGTGTCAGGCAAGAACGATGAGTCAGGCAGGTCTTGTTCTCTAAGAACACTGCGGGCTGCACCTGTGTTAACCAGGAAAGTAGTAGGGTGACCTTCAATAGGTAAAGTTACAGTGGCTAGTGGCCCCCCTTGTTCCCTGTAGACACTGCCATGGCAGGGGCATTAAGCATCAGTGGGTTTGCTCTCCTCTGTATGGGCTGTGTTACTGACTCAAACCCCTTTCTATGTCATTAGCCATAGCTTTTTGCAGTCTGAACATGTCTATCATTATAAATAATGGTTAATAGTAAGTGAAGTAAAGTTCCTAAATGTCTTTGGATAAAACATTAACTATTGCGGTACTATCATTTATATTAATTAGACCACAACAATTATACCACCCTGTAACTAAAAATGAATAACCAGTAGTGGCTGGGTTAATAAAACATGTCACTAATCCTTCTAATGCTAAACCACCATTTAACGTAAAGGATGTTACTGTAAACATACGATCTGTAACTAGCAAGATTCGATTAAGTAAAGATACATGTGTATAAAATAACTTGCATTATTTGGCTATTTCCCTTGTTGCAAGATTAATCTGGATAATCAGCTGTTATGCTCTTATATTCGTGTCCAACAGATCTCATTTGTAGGTCACACCACAGTTGCAAATTACATTTTAGCAACCTTCTTTTTTTTCTTTTTTTTTTTTTTATCACGGACAAATTTTTGATACAGGGAAACAAATGGCATGATTGTTTTAGTAATTATAATGTTTCTGTTCATAATATGTAGAGTGTAAGGAAAACAACATGACTCTAAATAGGACGAGCATAATAGGGGTAGGCCTCATGATGGAGGCAGCCATGACAGGGGCGGGGAAGGAAATTACAGCAAGGGAGGAAGTGAGAGGGGTGACGTCCATGATATGTGTGGGAAAGGAAGACAGGAGGTGTGGGCATGGTAAGGGCGGAAGTGACGTCACTTTAGAAGCAACCGTGACTGTAGATAGGTCACGGGACTGGCAGGGTCAACCTCCTTCTGTACTAGGCGCCATCTTTAGGGTGGTGGCTGATGCACTTTCAACAATACACTATATTATAACTATTAAAATAAGTCAGAGAAGCAACATTCTGTTCTGCAAAATGAAATACTAAACTATGAACAGACCTGGCAGGTTAAATAAGACAGTTGAAAACATTATGCATTTAACAGCCCATACAGCTGTCTCTAGAAACATGTTCTTTAAAATGATGCAAGATAAACTCACGGAATTCAACCAAATTCCCTTATCTTCCTCCAACCATTAATCACTTTCCTCTTCACATACTAGCTTAACTTCGCATATTCCCTCTATCCACATTGCATAGTTTTGCAACAAATCACGCTTGCCTTTACACTTAACACGTCCAAATATTCCTCTATTCTTGTATCAGATTCACTTACTTAACCTCCGTAAATCAACACTGAGCTACATCCCTGACTCCCTGTCTTATACACCAGTCTTGGAGAGAATACTCAGAAAGGTGGAATGCATTCTTGTGAGCGAGCCCCCCCACAATCTTCACTGCCTTATCACAAAACACAATTTATATATATATATATAAATATGGCAAACGGCAACAATAATAATATTATTACACAATTATAACACCATAACCTTTGAATTAGAATATTTTCCAGCAAAAATCCCGTCTCTAACTCTTATCAGTAGAAATGCAGGCATGTGACTCCTCCATTCGGAGGCAAGTGGGGAGGAGGGGGGGGGAGAAAGTAAGACAGTGCAAAAAAAAAGGGGAGAGAGAGACTGCAGGCATGAAGATTAACCATGAGAGTGCTGGAAAGTAACAAGACAGAAGGACAGAGACTTATACGTTTGGAAACCAGAAATCTTTGACGGGAGAAACGGACTGGAGGTACAGGGAGCTGCAGAGAGAGCATGAGGGTGACGAGATCTGTAGGACTGATGGGGGGGGGGAGTATAGGGTTCCATCAGCATTCAGGACTGGGCAAACAGGGGTGGTGGTAGGGTGGGGACCAGGGGTGGGGACCATGGTCAGCTACATTTCGGTCATTTCTGACGCGATGTTGGGAGTGGTCATCTCCTGGGCGCCATCATAGGGCGCTGGCTGGGAGGACTTCCCAGTAACACAATTATTATAATACACAAACAATCTTAAACCTTTGTGATCAATTCCTTCCTCAACCTATCCCTTTTGCTGAATAGCTCTTGCTACTCGGTATCAGGCTTCTGCTGTACGAACCAAATCTTGGTCCGACAGCTTCCCTTTCTTCTCTGTCAGTAACTTACGCCAGCTCTCTGGCTACAATCTGCCGCACAGAGGTACGGTAATTCCACATACTTTAGCAATCTTATCAAACTTCTTAACCATCTCTTCACCTTCCCTATCTTCTACCAAGTCTCGTGCTAGCCAACCCTTATCGGGTTTTCCCAGTTTCTGTCCCATATTCCCAGATATAGAGAGAGAAAGGAACAGAACGTCTACCGTGCTCGACTGCTACTTTAAGAGCAAGCTCTTTAAGTACGTCTTCCCAAAACGTAGACTAGTCACTGATTCCGCCTACCCGTGGTAGCCGCGGATTGGAGCGTGGCGAGAAGTGTGTGACCAATCACTTCTCTCAACAGAGAAAGAGAAATAGGAGGGGAAAGTGTAAATAGTGCAGTGAGTAAGATAAAAGTAAACACAGGAATCTGTGTGACAGACAATTAAGACAATAACATTTCAGTGTAAATACAGTGCATGCATCACAGTTCAAATAAGTTCAACAGTTTTATCCCTTGCCTTTACTCGTGTGGCCAAAAGCCACCTCCCTCAACCTCGTAGTGTCCCTGTTGCGGACCCACCCGCAAGTCTCACTACCAGCAGCCACAGGAAACAGCAACAGCTTCCAACCCGAATCCTGTATAGCCTAAAGAATTGGAATCTTACCTGCCTCAGCGCTCGAGGCTGGAATTTTACCAAGAAGAAGTGTCCGATGAGGCTAGCTAAGCGGTCAAAGCGACACTATGGGGAACCCCCAGGAAGCAGTGAGTCTACCACCCTCCACAGATTCCCCCTACTCTTTTTCCTTACAGCCACAGCTACGTGGCTCCTAAAAGAGTTAAACAGGCAATAGAGGACCCCCAGGAAAACTTCCACAGGTCCACCCCCCTTTTTCCTTACTACCACAGCCACGTGGTACCTAAAAGGAGTTAAACAGGCACTTACACTCCCCGGGTAGACTAAGTTAAACACAAACCAATACAAACACACCCAGGCAACAGATAGTCAACATGCAGGTAAATTAAGTATCATTAACAATACAAAGACTCTGGGCAAGTTATTACCTGACTTTGATGTCCTCTCGGCAGCAGTCACAGACACTGGGACAGGTCAATCACAGGGGTAGGAACATACCGGCTAGGTGCTGCAGCAATCTCTACCGTGTATTCAGAGGTGATCAGGCTCTTTTCCTTCCCCCAGGATTCATCCCCCCCAGCGTCTTCTTGGACAGCTGCCCAGGCAGGACATAGCCCAGAGCCCCACGTTATGGCGCCAGCTGTTGTAGTTGATTTACTGCAAACCAATTAGTTTGAATGACTATCTGTTCCTGTCCAAATTAAAGATAATAAAGTTGCGTGCACGCAGAAGTAAATTCACACTGAGACACAGAGTTCAGGTTAATGAAAGAACTTCGGAGAAGTTTAATGGCTTCTGACAGAAAATGGGTGCGCAGACCCTTTTAAAGGCATTATTACATCACTGAAGAATTCAAGATAACAGCAAATAGACACTATTGATTGGTCCAGGTGTTAAGTGGTTAGTTAGATACCCTCCTATCAAGAGGTGATGTCATCCTTGACACGGGAGTGGACACAAGATGTAGGCGCCATCTTGTTAGCACGAGGTGTTCACTCGATGGGAGGGGTGCTTTGGCAGCCATTTTGAGTAGTTAGTATTGTTAGCTTCTCAAGGTTAGGTTTCAAGGCTTTTAGTAAATACACATTTTATCAAAGCTATTTCTTGCTGACATGCAAATTCTATGTTCTATAGACAAAGCTTTCTTGTAAAACTATGGGGCCTCTTAGAGGTATAGCAAGAGGATTTAAAGGGGCCTTACAGATTTATAGAGGCCTAATAATTCTACAACAATGGCTGTGCCAAGCGTGAATAGGATAGTTATGTCACTTGCCAAATCATCCTCTAAGGAAAGGTGGGGGTTGGCTGCGCCGTTTTAGCATTAGACTTTGATTGCAGCAGGTCGCCAATATCACAAAAAACCTTCCCACATGAGGGCTTTAAGGTTTTTAGCCCTCTTCCCTGTGTCGAACAAGGAGTGCAGAGATTGCACCCGGGTGAAATTAGCAAGTGGATGCGTGACAATGCAAAATATAAAAGGTAAGCCGTGGGAGGTCAGCTGACATGTGTCAGTTCTCCTGCCAAGCCACGCCAGACTGTTTTTTTTTAAAGTATTTAATATCCCTTTTCTTATTTAGGTAATCGAATGACAATCTTTCATGTTTTGCTTGTATCTTTATGTGCTATAGGTTAAGATACGGATATACAACATGGATTGTAAAATCGTTATTGTATACACAACACATTATACATTACAGAATATTATGTCATTAATAGGAGTATCTAGGATCATTATTGACCATATGACTTCTAAATTGTGTCTTTTTTGCAGGCTAAACTGCTCAGAATACTTTCCACTTTTTGTGTCAGTTCTATGGATTGCAGGATATTTTTTCCATGAGGGTAAGTAATTATTTTGTTTCATTGCCATTTATTTAATATATAAACTTGTCCATAAAAAACTAAATGTTGTCAGATATGCTGTTAAAGGCACACTCCACTAACCAATTTAAGAAAATTAAATTACTGTTTAGTAGATATATCTGAAAACATGCATGCATTTAATTATTTTTTTTCTGCAACCATTTCAAGCCGTCCCCTTCTTCCATGGTCCAGACTTTCTGTGTCTGTCCAATCATAGATTTCCCCATAAGGCTCAATGAGAAGTCTTTGCAAGGCAGGTGCTCTGGGCGATTGCAGCATCTTCACTTCAGTTCTACTGAGCTAACCAAGCAGGACATGTCTGCCAAAGAGCCACGGGGTGGGGGTGTAACAAGGTTAATTTATAAGTGTCCGTTTGTATTGAAATACTTTTTTTAAAAAGTATTGTCGAACTCCACTATAAGGTATTAAACCAATGGCATATGGTTCCAAACATTCTAAATAAAATAAATTATAATAATGTGCTGGAGGTGTAACTATGAAGTGGGCTGTTTTTAAACATTTAGTGGGATTGTGTATTGATTAGACCATTACGGACTAAGGCCTCAAAATACATTTCTCCCTTGGTTCAGGAATATCTGGATTTTAATTTTATGGCAGCTCTTTTTCATGTAATCTATCTAGATATCCTCCACCAAAAATATATCTAATAATACAACTCTTAATGGCCGCAAAAATAGTTTCATCAAGATAATGGTTACAGTAAACGGTCTTTAATTGGTCCCAGGTTCTGCTTCAACTTAAATAACAATACCATATGGAAAGGGAAATTTCATTCCAACTAGAAGGCTCAGTCATGGGGAAAAAAAGATGGTATCCTTGGAAATTTTAATTTAGCAAGACCTCATACACTCTCAATCTCCATATATATTGGCTTTAGTGTTTATATATGTAATAAGTTAAACACCACTCTTATCACCTACAAATTACCCCTTGACTAGATTTAGATTTGTTGAAACAAGAAAGAAAAAAAAGTCCTCATAAATATATCATCTGATCTCAGTTAGTGGTCCGCATCAAAAACGTATCTGTATATAGTCTCTGTCTGCATATGGAATTATATAGGACAGCTAACAAAATAATGTATTTATGCACTGCATGCAGTTTTATGTTGTCTTTATGCACTCCGGGAAAAAAAATATTTCTAATAAAGAATATAATTACAAAAAAAAGAAATCTGCACTTTTTGTAAAAACGTAAAAAGAGGACACACTCCTCACACACAAAACATTTCCGCAAGTGTGTCTCTCCAATATCCAGGGTCAAACTATAGAGTAAGAGGTACATTTGTACCGTTTTTATCAACACAAAATCTCCAGCTTGAACACTGGGAGCGGGGGACCCTAAAAGGTTTGTGAATGACTTGCACCTGAGAATTTTGGTGCCCAGAATGTGTTGCAATATTTTCAGTTGGTTGGATTAAATTAAATGAAGAATTGTAAATATGCCTAGTTATCAAACATGCTTCCTTTCTTATACCTGTTTTAGGAGCTGCAGCAGCCTGTGGTCTGTTTTATCTGTATATGAGGTATGAGTATTTTCATGGATATGCAGCATCTGCAGAACAAAGGTAAGACATGAAAGTAGCAAGATTCCTTTCAGGTGTGTCGCAGGAAACTGGAACAAAATAATAGGCATCATTGTTACAGATGTCCAACTATGGTACTGCAGTATTGCACTTTTTTGTGTTCTGCTTACTTTCCTTTTTGTAAATTTAAATCCCAGATTACAATATACATTTTCCTTCCAAGCTTATATTTAGTCAGTTAAGACAGTTCTCCCCCTTAAGTGAAGCCAAGTAATAAGCCAACATTTTTCCATGTACATGTGAAATAATCATAATATGCCATATTTACTCGATTTTTGAAACCTGGAAGCTGGCGAATGTAATGCGCATTTATACAAGATACTACAATACAACATTGTGCTACAATGAAAATGTTTCTTGCCATATACCATAGTAACATTGATGGTATGTCCATTTTAGTGCTACATGTTAAGTCTATTCTTCCTCAAGCTCTCCTTTAGGAATGAAAAAAAGCCTGTGTGAATTCACCAGAATGAAATGTGCCTGTGTGAATTCACCAGAAATTTTCAAATTTTGCCCGAATGTTATGCGCCATCGAATATAATGCACATTCAAATTTTGGAAACTTTATTTTCCAACTTTATTTTATCGAGTAAATACAGTAAATCATTCTTTCCCTATAGGATTAATGAATGTATTTTTCCTTGTTACAGACTGAAGCCCATGTACATCAGTGCTACTCTAATCTGGATTCTCATTGGATTGTCATTGGTTGGCTTGATGGAGCATTTCATATTTATGTGTTTTGGTGTTCATATTAAAGAAGGTCTGGGATGGAAGTTTTTTTGATATTTAAAAAGTTTTTATAATTATTTGCATTTTATCAGATTGTAAGCCTCAGCAGGCAGGGTTTCCACAACAACAGTTTTACTGTGTCACAAATATGTATACCCCTGTACAGCACTGCAGACATTGTTAGGATTGTTAAAATAATAGAATATTTGTGATAATGTGTCATGGATCGACCTTGTGCCAAACACAGAAACATTGTTCATAGTAAATATAAAAATATTTTTATACTTTTATATGTATCCTTGGAGAGAACATATCTCTGCTGGTATAATCAAACCCTGAAGCACTCTGTCTTATATCTATCTGGAGTTCCCTGTGCCGCCCTGCCATTTAATGTTTTAACAAGAGTTAACATAGAAACATAGAATGTGACGGCAAATAAGAACCATTCGGCCCATCTAGTCTGCCCAATTTTCTAAATACCTCATATTATAGTTAGGATAGCCTTATGCCTATCCCACGCATGCTTAAACTCATTTACTGTGTTAACCTCTACCACTTCAGCTGGAAGGCTATTCCATGCATCCACTACCCTCTCAATAAAGTAATACTTCCTATTCATTTTTAAGCCTTTGTCCCTCTAATTTAAGACTATGTCCTCTTGTTGTGGTAGTTTTTCTTCTTTTAAACATAATCTCCTCCTTTACTGTGTTGATTCCCTTTATGTATTTAAATGTTTCTATCATATCCCCCCTGTCTCGTCTTTCCTCCAAGCTGTACATGTTAAGATCCTTTAACCTTTCCTGGTAAGTTTTATCCCGCAATCCATGAACCAGTTTAGTAGCCCCTCTCTGAACTCTCTCTAAAGTATCAATATTCTTCTGGAGATACGGTCTCCAGTACTGCGTACAATACTCCAAGTGAGGTCTCACCAGTGTTCTGTACAATGGCATGATCACTTCCCTCTTTCTACTGCTAATGCCTCTCCCTAAACAACCAAGCATTCTGCTAGCACTTCCGGTTCCTCTATTACATTGTCTGCCTACCTATAAGTCATCTGAAATAATTATCCCTAAATCCCTTTCCTCAGCTGTTGAGGTTAGGACTCCATCAAATATTATGTACTCAGCCCTTGGGTTTTTATGTCCAGGATGCATTATCTTGCACTTATCCACATTAAATGTCAGTTGCCACAACTCTGACCATTTTTCTAGTTTACCTAAATCATTTGCCATTTGGCTTATCCTTCCTGGAACATCAACTCTGTTACATATCTTAGTATCATCAGCAAAAATACATACCTTACCATCAAGACCTTCTGCAAGATCACTAATAAAAAATATTAAAGAGAATGGGTCCAAGTATAGATCCCTGAGGTACCCCACTGGTGACAAGCCTAAGCTTTGAATATACTTCATTGACTAACAGCAGTCCAAACTCTCTGTGCAGCTTGGGATAACAAGGAAGCAACAATGTGTGACAGTGATTGGCTGAAAGCATTCAGCTGACACTCTCAGCCAATCACAGCACCCCTAGCTTTTATGAATTGGTATGGCTAGAATTAAATGAGTACTGTAATATGCTATGGCATTGCGTGCTGAGCGTCAAGGAATGCGGGTGCCATCATGGACCGGTCGCTGCTCTACTGAAGCTATTAAAGAACCCTTGGAAAGTCTCTCTCACAAAAAGTAAGTGAAGGACTTGGGGCACTTATAGTCCTTAATACCCCTAGTCCTTCATACCCCTAAACCTTCATACATCTACCCGTAATCCTTCATACCCCTACTCCTAGTCCTTAATACCCCTACCCCTACAGTGTTAATACCCCTACCCCAGCACGCACAGTATTAACAGTGTGTGTGCTGGGGTAGGGGTATTAAGGACTATGTGTGCTGGGGTAGGGGTATTAACACTGTAGGAGTATTAACACTGTAGGGGTATTAAGGATTAGGGGTAGGGGTATCATTAATACCCCTACAGTGTTAAGGACTATGTGTGCTGGGGTAGGGGTATTAACACTGTAGGTATAGGGGTATGAAGGACTAGGGGTAGGGGTATTAACACGGTAGGGGTATTAACTGTAGGGGTAGGTGTGCTGGGGTAGGGTTATTAAGGATTAGGGGTAGGGGTATCATTAATACCCCTACAGTGTTAAGGACTATGTGTGCTGGGGTAGGGGTATTAACACTGTAGGTGTAGGGGTATGAAGGACTAGGGGTAGGGGTATTAACACGGTAGGGGTATTAACTGTAGGGGTAGGTGTGCTGGGGTAGGGGTATTAACACTGTAGGGGTATTAAGGACTAGGCACTATAATCAATTCAAGGACAGGAAATGGTAGTGCCTACATGGTCTCTTTAAATACATACCGTTTGCCCTTGGTTTGCATGAATTAAAATGATAAACTTTAATTAAATGGATTTCTGTATTGCCATGAATATCAGCTTGATAATCAAAACAAATTTTATATCAGTTATTTCAGAAATATATAATAAAATGTGTTGGAATGGGATTTTTAAAAACAAAAAAGTGTAAAGGTATACATGTATAATATTAAATATATTGTACAATAATTTCTATGTATTTCTGGTGTAGGATTACCATGAATTTATTTAGAAACCCACCCTTTATTAAATTTTTCTGGAGTGTTAATTTACCTACTGAATTAGTGATATAATTTGTAAATACTTTGGATTCTGTGTTCAGTAATAACACTGTTAATGTGCCGTTTAGACTTGATGTTATGAGCAGAATTGTCTAATATGTATGGACACAAAGAAGGTCACTGCATACAGACCAGTTCTGAAGTAAATTCCTAGAATTAAAGCAATCACCATTAAAACAGACTATGAGATCAACTATTAAAAAGCATGCTCTGTCTGTGCAACCATAACATGTACTAAATATCCATAACTAACTTTTTTTCATACAGTTAATGTTCACAGTACAATTAAATAGTGTTTGTGTGCTGTGTAAATATATCATTTTATTTCATATTTAAATAGTTACATAGGCTGAAAAGAGACTTGTCCATCAAGTTCAACCTTCCTTTTTTTTTTGCTGTTGATCCAAAAGAAGGCAAAAAAACAACAACCCAGTTTGATGCACTTCCAATATTGCAACAAGCTAGGGAAAAAAAAAAATCCTTCTTGACCCCAGAATGGATCAAGAAGCTATTACCCTACATTGAAAGATTATATCCTTGAATATTCTGTTTTTGCAAGTATGCATCTAGTTGCTGTTTGAACATCTGTATGGACTCTGATAAAAACACACTTCTTCAGGCAGAGAATTCCACATCCTTATTGTTCTTACAGTAAAAAAAAACAAAAAACCTTCCTTTGCCTTAGACAAAATCTTCTTTCTTCCAGTCTAAACGCATGGCCTCGTGTCCTATGTAAAGTCTGGTTTGTGAATAGATTTCCACATAATGGTTTGTATTGACCCCGGATATATTTGTATAATGTTATCATATCTCCTTTGAGGGAAACCTTTTTCTAAACTAAAGAGATTTAAATGTGTTAACCTTTATTTCATAGCTAAAATGTTCCATTCCTTTTATTAATTTTAATTATTCCTAGCCTAACATTATTTAACACTGCGCTCATTCTGATACCATGAATAATCAACCTATAAGCAATAGGTATGTTGAAGATTGTAAGCTTGAGGACAAAACCTACAGTATTAGTCTGTTACATCCTTTACTCATTACATACCGCATTAAAGAATTTAATGAAGCCACATAGCCCAATGGCAAGTATCACAAGATTCGACCACTATGGCTGTCACATGCCTGCATATATTGCCTCAATGTCTATATTGATCAGTAGGACATACAAAGGGCAAGTAATGGCATTTCTAAATTACATTTATGCACCTTTTAAATATCAGCATGTATTTTTGTTGTTGTTGGATAGAAATGTATTTGCTTGTTGGCTGCCTGATCGGACTTACCTCTTCTGAATTTCCCTTTATTATGTAGGCTGACATTTTGACTTATAGAAAAGGGTTCTATGACTGTGTCACACCTGGACAACAGTGTAAAAAGAACCTGTGTCTTATGTGTTAACACAGTCGCAGAGGTGATATACCAGTGACACACTCCAGGGGTGTCTCGGGGCTTAAACCCTAATGCATAAAAAAAAAAAGGAAAAAAGAATAAGCAAAAATCTGATAGGGCTCCCTGGATATACACCAGTATCTAAAGTATTGGTGTTATCTCTGTGTTAGATACAATTGTAACAAACACTTAACTTATAATAAGCAAAATGGCTATATACTTAAATTCCTTAGCCTTGTAAGGCTATTCCTATATTACATGAGACAAGTCTACCACACAGTATACATGACTGGCTTAATTGTTGGTAAAAAGTAGTTCCAGTGTATGGTGGATTCTGTATGTATATTAGTCAGATTTGAGCAAAGATCATTACAGTATGTGTATCAAAATAATATACAAAGTAATTATGCCAATAGAATCGATGATACTAGCATGTGTTACTTCTGATGTTGTGATGGTAATTGCAGGATAGTACCAATATATGTGGAAAGATATACGTATACTGTCAAGTGCTGTGCTTAATACAAAGGCAAAGGGTGTGTTAACTTTGCATAGACTGGTAAGAAGAGGATATAAGGAGGAAAATTGTAGTAAGCCTCTCTCCCTTTAAATCAGACTAGATAGAAAATTAGGAA